TTATTATTATTATTATTATTATTATTATTATTGTTGTTGTTGTTGTTGTTGTTGTTGTTGTTGTTGTTGTTGTTGTTGTTGTTGTTGTTGTTGTTGTTGTTGTTGTTGTTGTTGTTGTTGTTATTGTTATTATTATTGTCATCACTTCTCTGCAGATCGACATCTTGTTCTATTTATTACCTTGTGGCACCAGAAAGCGTAGTAAACCCCCGACATGTAAATCGCCAAGAGACTGAATGCAATTCCGAATAAGTCGTAACAGAGGAAACACCAGTAGTCCATTTCACTTCTGCACGAGAATGTATGGTAGACTGACGATAAAATCATGCAAGCCTAATTGAAGAAGAGAATGCCCATTATTTCATTACAATTTTCTACAAACGATGGTAATAGGAAAATAGAAATGTAAATAACATAAAAAATAATTACAATTTTCATTAGCCATCAGACGAAAGGGAGTAACGGACAACTGGTGAGTGGAATTTTCGTTCACCCCCCCCCCCCCCCCCCCCCCGTGAGTAACAAATAATTAAAACAAATTCAGTGGGAAATTTTAAATGTTCGTTTCAAGTAAAAATCGGGTGGGTAAATTCTGAAAATTTCGATATTTCCATCATTTTCATTCTCAAAAGTAAAAAATGATGAGTAATTATTGTAATATTATCGATTTAGTTAGAAATTATTTTTTATCAATATCTCCAGACTTATTTTATGATATGTCATTCCAACTTTTTATAGGAAATTTGCGCTACCAGTGCAAAGATTTTTTGACATTTGATTGTGGAATCGCTCATTAATGAGAAAAATGTATAGTTATTACATTTTCCTCTGATAAGATTCATTTTTTTTATAATTATCTCAAGAATTTTATCGAGTTTAGACATGAAATGATCGTTTTTGAGAGTAAAAATATTATTATAAATTTTAATATTGATAAAAATTTTTTTTATTTTTTAATAAAGATAGATTCCCTGAGTGAATGATTATTATGTAATTATCCGATCAATGAATGATAAACTGATTTCCTAAATAAATCATGAGAAGAAAAATCATATACTTCATGTAGAAATCCATTTTGAGAAAAAGAAAGTTGAAGATGTCAAAATTTTCCCAAAATGGTCAGAAATTTCCGGTAAAAATTACTCAATGCTAACTTATCCCATCATGTGACCTACATATGGACTGAAAATTTCACAAGTGAATTCGATAAAGATTTTCTATAAGTCGATTACGACATTGTGAAAATCAATAAGATGATTATGTAATTTTTTACCTGAAAGCAGACCAGGAGGAGTGCCACTATGATTTTATCACCGAAAGGGGCATGGATATTGAGTAGGCAGAGATCGTACAAGGTCAGCCCAAGAAATAGCATCCAACCGAAGATGTGGCTCCATATGTTGATGGTTTCATTCGTCCACCAGAAAATACTGAAAAATTATTCACGTTAACAACTAACGATGGATTCTACTTGATGCACTGCAAACCTTTCTATACACAATTTTGTAGTTAAATATCCTCGATATCCATGAAGAATGAAGGGATTATGTGTGAGATACTCTGGAGCTTCTTCGATGGGCAGAAGACGTCTCATCCGTTCTTCATCTTCAGGTGACAGTTCTCCTTTTATTGGAGAGCCTGCCGGTTTTTTTGGACGTACGTGAGCTACCTGAAACGATAAAAAAGACAGAAATATTAATCCATCATTTTTTTATGTTTTTCAAAACGGGGTATGATAGATTTAAGTGTTAAATAAATTGAAGTTTTGGTCGAGTTATGGGAGATTCCCCTAATATTTAAAAATTAGAATATCTTAACACATTCTTCAAAATGACGCCTAACTTTTCCTTTTTCAATAATTTGATCAATTTTTGTAGTTAATTGTGTGCCGATTTTGACATTTCACAAATTTCTAATTTTGCACTTTCTGGATTTTGAATGTTTGGTCGTTAAATTATTATTTTTCGCGTTGATTATCAATAGAATCGCATTAAAAAGCTCATATATCCGTGCAGATCTTCATTTTATAAATAAATTATAAAATCATTTTACTAATTGCAATATTGCAATTTCTACTTGCAATATTGCAATTTTGCTGCAGATGGCATGGTTTCGGTTTTAGCTGAATATTTTTGTTAACAATTCAACAGCGAAAGAAATCTTTCAGTTTATCAACTGCTTCCATGTAAAAATTCCCAATCCAAGGGCAGTTATGTAACAATACTTCAACGAAATCTGAATTTCTCTCTCAAGAAACTAATTTGACTTCACATCCTTCAACACTCATGATAAAGCGATCGTAAAACCAAGATCAAGGTCAGACCTTTTATCGCATTTCACTTATTCATCATCTAAACTAGTTATTTCCGTAAAATCTTGTTCGTATACTGAAAGTTGTAAGGAATAAGCGGAACTACTCAATAGGATCTTGAGAAAATTCTTCGGAATACATCACGTGCTATAGATCTAGTAACTGATATTTTTATTCCATTTTACACAGAATTCTCAGCACAAAAATCGACGGAAATTCAGGTTGAAACTCTTGAAGCAGTTGGGTGTACCGTTTTTCATATTTTTTCGCAATTTATCGTCTTCTATAGGTGAGAACAGATAAAACCAGACTTCAGAAATGTAGAATAATAAAGTCATTGTTAAATGTATGGTTACCCAATGATTGTTCAGGGCTGATGGAAGCCACGGTACATAATTATAATTGTTAAAAAGTATTTTAACGAGGAAGAAATGGACAGCACCGAGATATTCTTAAGTCATTTGAACACTAATAAAATTTTTCATTGAACCTAGAGAAAGTCTACTGGTGTAAGATAACTTTCTTGCGGTTTTCTGGTGATCTGATTGATCTTAAATCCAATGACACTATCTCTCAAGTTCTCAATTGTTGAATTGTCGTTTAAATTGATTTTTTCGTTTTTATTGTTTGAGGTGGGAGGAGGGAGGAGAAATGGAGAGGCTTTGGTCGTTGAAGGAAATTCATATGATCACTGGCTACGGTCTCTTGCAATCGGGATGCTGATAGGAAAGTAGGAAGTGGGTCACAACGGGACCTGCTTCTCATCTCAGTGTGTCGTGGTCATGCCTCCGATACATTCTCTCGTTTTCGATAATTTCACCAGTGAAATTCACTTCTCATCCTCTTTAGCGCAAGAGTTTCGTTCTTTCCGAGGGACATCGTTAGTACAGGTGCAAGGTGATGTCAGGAAAATTATGGGGTAGTTCATATGAAAAAATGCAATATTCAATCAAAATTACGGAATTTTAGTTGTCGATTACGGGGGTGAATAAATAAATTTACGTGGCAGTATCGGAATTCTGCGTTCAAAATCCTATTCTAACAGCGACACGCTTGACACAATCGATTATCTCGAAAATCTCGAAATCATGAAGCCACGATTCCTTATTGGTCCACTTAAAGTGGCGCGAGATTACAAAATCGTAACTCTTTTACAGAAATAGTTTCATGGCGCGGTCCTATTCTAAAAGGGACACGCTCGATACAATCGATTATCTCGAAAATCTCGAAATCATGAAGCCACGATTCCTTATTGGTCCACTTAAAGTGGCGCGAAATTACAAAATCGTAACTCTTTTACAGAAATAGTTTCATAGTGCGGTCCTATTCTAGAAGGGACACACTTGATACAATCGATTATCTCGAAAATCTCGAAATCATGAAGCCACGATTCCTTATTGGTCCGCCTAAAATGGCGCGAGACTACGAACTCGTAACTCTCTTACATAAATCGTTTCAAACCCGCGTGCTAGCGCACGGTACGCTTTTTCGTGAGACAAAAATTGCCGAACGTTTAAAAAACTTCCGAAATAATTCCATCACATTTTCTTTAACGATGCGCCGAAAATTCCCAATAACTAATTATCTGACGCTGGGAAACAAATCGTCATGAGATTCTGTAATTGACTTGATGACAACGATAATTTGTTTATTTCAAGAAAGTTATTTATCAAATAATGTATAGTTCAAGCAAGTCATTCAGTTTTCTTCTTCAAATTTCACATTCAATACATTTTAATGAAAAAACCGTTGGCCAGATTGTTAGGTATTTAGTTCGAGAAAGCAATTTCTTGTTATTAACAAATTGCTCTTCAACTTCAGGTACCAATTCAACATTTCTTGACGAATGATTTCTAGTCTTCAGACTTTTGACAAAAGTAGAGATGTACTTGTCAAATAAAAATGCTTTCTGTAAAACCGTAAACTAATCATGATTCATAGAATTTCTGTAGATCAATTAAACAATATTATTTACGATCTGGTCTACTAATAAATCTCCTAATAAACATTAACATAATTAATATAGAGTTGCAAAATGTAATATTCAAAATAACAATTCGGCGAATGGTGGAATTGTTGATAGGTCTGCTTCAATATAGCAATGGATTTTTTTCTTTTCATTTCAATAGCGCACTTTCGGAGGATAACTATTAGAAATTGTACGTAAATAACTGAAATTACTTCATAACCCGGAAAGTAAAAGATGCGTGTCCATCGGGTTTAGTCTGATGGAAAAGAGTAAGTTGAAATTCTGGAACCGTTGAAGGGAATTTATTTCAATATTATTTTTGAGCTACTAGGAAAATCCGCAGTTATTAAACATATCGTGAGAAATTTAATTCATATGTAAATTCGTATGAATAGTTTTGGAGAGACTATTGTTTTTCGAAGTAATTGTTGTCGATAAAAAAATGAATAAATAATAAATTAATTAATTTATATAATAACTCAATTGATACAATTTTTATGTATCCATTGCCCATTCTCTATTTTATTTTTTTGCTTTCGCCTTTTGACCCCCACCCTCCGTCCAGAAAGTTTACTGTGGGAGTACTTGAAGGATTCCACATGAAATCCCAAAAAGATAAATTCATGAAAGTTTTTTTAAGTTTCTCCAGCCTAACCCAGACTCGTATTGAAAATTCATTATTTATTTTCAACTGCAGAACAAAGTTATGATTTTTTTTTAACATCGATTAACAATTTTTGCAATGCACTTATAAAAAATTTGATAGATATATGATTAAAAAGAAAAAAATTAATGAATAAAATTTAAAAAATTACCCTAACGAGGTAATTGCCAATTACATTTTTTCGTATTGAGAAACATTTATTAAATTATTTAAGGTTTTATTAATGTTATTATTTAATGTTTGGAATATTTATTAAAATCATATCCCAATTTAAAAAATTAATATTTAATCAAGGCAATTGTGCCGTAAAATAAATAATAATAATTCTTAAATAAATTATAATAAAGGCAATAATAATAATAATAATAATGTTATTAATGATTAATGATTAATTATCAGTGTATTTATTATTATTATTATTATTATTATTATTATTATTATTATTATTATTATTATTATTATTATTATTATTATTAGTATTATTGTTATTATTATTATTATTATTATTATTATTATTATTTGAAATAATTAATAATTGATAATTATAATCATTAATTATTTCAACCCCCTCAATCAGAAGATGATCTATGATATTGTTCACTTCAACAAGAGTTTAATTCCCCTCATCGTAATTAATACTGTAGAAAATAATTAGATCGAATTAGTATTCAATTACCTTATTGTGAAATGCCTTTTTCTCCGGTGGTTTATCCATGTGATTATTATGCGCCTTCTGGGAATCTTCAATTTCGTTCGTGCCATTCTCGCTGATCTCCTCTACACCGGCTAGTAATTTCATCATTGATGCAACTCTCTGAACGCAGAATAAATCCAGTCAGTAGATTTTCAGGTGGTATAAGTCAATTTGTTAGCGAGACAGGAAGTTGCGATGAGATTGTTTTAGATAAAGAGCATAAAGAGTGAAAAACTTGAGGAAAAAATCGTGCTGAAAATTAATTGGCGCTGAAAATTTATGAGAGTTATGATTCCACCGGACAAATTACTATTCTCTACGTTAAAAGTTCTTCAGCTAGTTTGAAATGTTCTGTGATAACGAAGTGACATGTAATGATTCTTACGGAAATCCGTGACGAAATGTGAAAGAAGATTAGTTCACGTAATTCTTCGTTACGTTTTTCAGAAATATCTCTGAAACTACTGGATGGATTGAAATTCTGGTTGGAACCTTTTTTGTAGACTTTATCGAAAGCTTCGAAAAAAGTTTTGTCAAAAATTTCGTTATCTCTCTTAGTTTTCGGGATATTTCCGAAAAACTCGTCAAAGAATTAAGTTAACTCATCTCCTGTTGTCACTTCGCTACAAAATTCGTATCTATTTTCGTTTTGCAGTCTAATTTCTCTATGAAATTTATATAAATACCAATAACTCACTAGAAATCATTCACATCTAGCAAAAACTTTATTTGAAATTATTCCATATCGTCCTATAATTTTACAAGATTCTTCTATAGGTAATTAACTCATCCACCATCAATGGCTTTCCAGAGTTCTCTCTAAAACTATTTATTCCGGATATATTTGCAAAAGGAACGCTTTCTTGATTTTCTCCTCATGTCAATCTACAATGTTACTATCGAAATGTTTATCATGACTAAAATGATTTTCTTTATTTCAAGTGGAGCAATCTTTTGGGAAATGTCACACAATCGATATTTTTCATATTATCAAATTATGATATATTGAGAGTGCATGGTGAAGAGGAAAATAAGAAATATTGAATGCTCAGCGATTTAGAGAAAACTAAATACTTTAAGGTTGTTGTCGCGTAGAATTTTTTTTCGACAGTTTTCGTTAAAAATTTTATGGTGAATAGTTTGAACAATTAGCAACAAAATGAGCCTTTTTCGTTTGCAATTGACCGTTTTGAACTTGAGATATAAATTTTTGAAATTCGAGTGATTTAACACGTGTTTAAATGGAGTTTTGCCGATTAGAATTTTTTAAAAATCAACGGCTCGACAGTTTCAGAAATAAAAAAAAACGTGGAATATACATCGTGGGAGGAAATACAGAAAAAAAAATCAAATCGATTGACCGTTTGGTTTACGGAATATAATTATCGGAAATTCATAAACTTATATAATTGAAAATAGTTAATATGGAAAATATATAGTTATGCTTTAGCTATCCATGCACAATGCAATCAATCAAGTGAGACTATATACCGCTAAAAGATTGTGTTCTAAACTGGCCCGTTTTACAGCGGATAAACTTTTTACAGAGGCTGTCGCGCGACAACAACCTTAAGGCCCAGGTGGACTATCTATCGAACGTCGACTTTTGTTTCAATTTTATTTTTTCAACCTAAAATACATTAAAATTTGGGATCAATTTTGTGTTGCGGGAAGCACTTGAATGGACATGAAAAAATAATGAAAAAAACGAGGAAAAATTATTGAAGGGCGCTAAAGATCGATATTATTTAAAAGGGATTTACCAAGTTTGCTAAAAAATAATAAAAAATACGTAGCTTGCTATTGCATCTAGCTGTCACTCAATCTTCTGGAGAGCAATGGTACGCTGCGTAATTTTTATTATTTTTTTGTAAATTTGGTAGATCCCTTTTAAACAATATCGCTCTTTAGCGCCCTTCAATAATTTTTCCTCTTTTTTTTCATTATTTTTTTATAATCATTCGAGTAGCTCCCGCAACACAAATTTAATTCCAAATTTTAAATAAAAACTTACTCTTCTCTAGAAAGTTCAATTCTCAACATTTTCATAATTTATCCAGATTTATTATTGGCCTGCGCATGTTAATAATTGAAATGTTTCATTTCTCCGAAAATCCTTCAAAAACCGCCATTTTATTGTCTCAAAAAAAAATATTGTCTTTCAACAATTCAACTATAGATTAAAATCATATTAAAATTTTGAAATGGTACGTCCATTTTATCTTCTTTAAAAAAACCTAAAAAATGGATCATTTGACTTCTAAAAGAATTGCTATTTTTTGCTTGGGAATGAATGGAAAACTACAGCACAAATTTCAAGCATTTTTTTTGTTGCAATTTGACAACAAAATCGCCGCATTATCCACCTCCATTATCCAATCAGTTACTCCCCTCGCTATTTGTTATAAATTTCCTGGATTCCAGATTCAACTAATTCCAGAGCTTTAGTCCAAAAAATCTTAAACTCTTATCTCGTCCCATTAACATCCTCTTTAATTCCCCCCACTCTAAAGAATTCCCCAATGAAAAACCAGTTGACTTGAAACTTGATTAAAAATAAAAGAAAATGTTCCACGATTTTTCTTAAATTCAAATCTATTCATTTAAAAATCGGAGTACGAAATCCAGATATTTATTTATTTATATCCATTCCAGTTATATCCTGTAGAATATCCGCAGATCAATTCGCTAATTGTGGAATAAAAAATTTATTGCATTGCATGACAACAGACTTTCAGAATTTTTCAGTCTTACGGAGAACAGTTCTCACATTTTTTCTGGCGTCGCGCACTCGAGAAAGATTTACAAAAAAAACAGTTTTAAATTTTCATGGATTCCAGTCTAGAAATGTTTGATGCAATTCAATCCTTAATGACTTTCACCCCTATCCCTCATGTAAAAAATTTCGTAAATCAGGAACTCGCGTATTTCCGGAGGAATATATACTAATGTACTGGACTCCAAGGCAGAATAAAAATGACTTTCTCCTTATTACAACCCGGAAATTTCGCAGATCATACTGTTCACAATATCCATACTTCATGGAAGATAATTATTTTTTCTTATTGAACATGATTTGATTTTCAGGGGCCAGAGTCTGTGGTTTTATTTTACCACTCACAAAGGGAGGATCGACTTCGCTCTCGTATAGACCGTTATTTTTCAAGAAAAAAAAAAACATTTCCCTGTGAAAGTGGAGAGAAATGGCACTCACTATCTCCTGCGAACCGACTGAAACCCCGAATTGTCCATCGACCTTGAAAAAAAGTTAGGACCAGTCACATTTGAATAATTCCCGAGGTATTTCAGTTCTTCCCCTCAAATTTGAAAACGTATTAAATCAGTAAGAGAATAGTTATTGGAAAACAGATCACTCACCCCTAGATCTAAGATCGATTGATTGAACGGATTTTTTCCGGACGCAGGACCCGGAAAACACGATTTTTTAATGAAAAAATAAAAATTTAATTTAATAAAAATAAAAATCAAAAATTTCCTAATATAACGATATTATTTATCAACAAAAGAATCCCTTCAGACGACCATTTTTGTTTTCAGACTATAAAATGTACGTGTGCTGTCAAAATTTTAATAAAATTTTATGCTATAGTTAAATTGTTGAAAACTTTTTCTTTTAAATAAAATAAAATTGCGGTCTCTTTAAGGATTTTTATAGGGATGTTTTACGAGAGACCGAAAAGCTCTGTAAAAGTTGGAAATTAAACGTTCCAAAGATTTTTCGATAATATATTCAAATTTTGAACTGTAATTACGATAATTTCCCCGCCAACGAGTAATTTATTTATGCGGCTTTTTTGAAAATACAGTTTCAAGACTAAATGCTAAATCCGTTGAATAACCGATTAATTCTGAATTTTCCTCTTTACGGTATATTCTCAATATATCATATTTTGCGAGTATGAATGAAAAAAAAATCGATTTTTTGGAAATTCCAGAGGGGATGGAAATTTGTTATAAGTCTTTGAACATCACAGAATAATTTCTTCAACAAAAAAAAATAGAGCGCGATGGTCAGTAGATGGTAATTACCTCGTCACTGAAGATTGTGTTTATGATTTACATAAAAAATAAGATCCCCAGAAATATAAAAGATAATTCACTGGATTTGTGTCATATCTAGGAGGAGAACGAGTAGCCGACAAGACTCGTCTTCGCGTCACGAGCAACTGGTGGTTCAGTAGAAAGAATACCCGTGTGTTTACGATAAACTGACCCAACGGTCCCCTCAAAGTCCCCCACACATACGTCCTTTCGTCCACTTTGCTAAAGAGTAGAGGGGACTTGCGTCATTTTCCACTACACTCTCACCAATCCATTAAAAACTTATAAAATTAAATTCTCGGCCAGGTGAGAGAACAATTCGAATCATTTAATTTTCGCAACGTCAGATATAACGAGAAACTCACTGACGATTAAATACGTTTGAGAAATAAATGTTGAGATGTCATATTTTTAATTTTTATCCTATTTTCAATTGATCCTTTACGTGGACTTTATTATATGAAGGGCTAATGCTAAAATGTACACATGAGAAGTTGTTGAAAACGTTCATCACTCCTTTTTGTTAAATAAAAATTACACATTTCTGTTATAAATGTAAACAATTAATCAGAACTCATTTTTACTCATTTAGCTATCGTGTCGCGTTTACCTCATAATTTTGTTGAAACAATTCGTTTGATCGAATGATTAAAAATCTTTTCAGGGAATTGAATCTGTAAACACAATTTTGCCTGAATTACTCCATTTTTTTTTTAATTTGGATTGTGTCGCTCGTAATTGTTTTTTTTTTTCATTCCAAATACCACTGGCATAGTTCGAAATATTGAGCACCAGTTGCATTGACCCGTGTATTCTTTATTGTGAAAAAAATCCTTATCGATATTAACTTATTGAATTTGTATTTATTATTATAGCGAGCAATGATAATAATGCATCACGATTTATATTTCGTACTAAATGCACATGTGAGTCTTCAAATAAAAAATAATCTGGTGGAGTGATAGGAGATATGAGAGCGAGTTGATTTTCCATGGTATGGAATATTTTCAACATCTCCATTTTTCGTTACGAATTTCTTTCCGAAAAATCACATTCAAAATTATTAATAAACACGTAAAATTAAAGAATTCCAGTTCAACATATTCAGAATTCTAAAAAGTTATTTTTAATCTTGATCGAGCGCAATCGCAACCCCAGAAAGTGCAAGAGTATTAATTTGAGAAGATATGAAGCAATAGAAACATCCTCGAGTCTTCAACTACATCTCATTGTTTGAAAATAAAAAAATTAATGGAGACAGTTGAATTAAATATATTCCCACAGTTAGTATGATGAGCTGTGAGCCTCTTAACTCTGATGAGTAATAATAAAATAAAATCAGGGTTCAATTTCCGCGTCTTAATCTCAACTTCAGATCATGTCTGCAAATTTTATTATTTTCTCAAAAAAGAGCGTAGAAATTACGATATTTCCACATTTTTTTACAAGCTACTGAATGGCTTCAAAAATCTGAAAGCTCCGGGAATATATTGAGAGTTGAGGCGAGAAGTTAATCCCTTCAATTTTGGGCCTTAATTCTGTACTGTGGTGGCGGAAAATGACAAGTAATTTCTCTAGTTTTCTCGATTTTGTGATTATTTCGATGAAAAATTATTTGTTCATATTTATCTCAAGACTCAATAATTTTACGACAAAATGTCATAGAACCTTTTTTGTAGGAAATCTTCTCTGCTACAAAAAATATCTTTGACATTTCCTTGTAAAATCACTCATTAACGAGATAAATGCATAATTATCTCGATTATTTTACCGAGTTTACATGCGAAATTATCGTTTTTGGAAGTTAAAAGACATGTAATAAATTTTCATATTTTCCCAGGATTTTCCTTTATTTTCTAATACAGATTTCCTGAATGAATAATAATTATTATGCAATTATCTCGTTAATGTGTGATTTTTTAAGAAAATGGTCCAAAACGTTCTTGTAGCTGAGTTTTTCTGCAAAAAAGTGACACATGTCATTTCACTGTAAACTAGTTCGTGTTAAAATTAAATGTAATAATTACGCATTTATCACTTGAATAAGTGATTCTACAATGAAATGTGAAAAAACCTTTTCTGTAGGAAAAACGATATCCGACAAAAAAGTTGAATGACATTTTATTGTAGGATAATTGACTGAAGAGTTCTCCAGATAAAACGAATGATGCACTTCTGCAATGGGAGAAATGGATGTGAAGAGCTTTCAATTAATGCTACTAAATATGCGGATGATCGACAAATTATCACGGAGCAAATGGCAAGGGCAAACAGGAAGGAAAGCATTACTAGAGAATAAATATTCTATAACCCTGATTTCGTGGCAATGAATATTAAAATTGAATGAAAGCACAAGCAAAAGTAAATGAAGAAACGAATCTAAACTAATTCCACAATCAATAAATAAGGATTCAATTAAAATATTTTATTAATTTAATACAATTGATCTTATGCCAAGTGCCCTTCGTCCAATTTGCCGTTCAACCTATAATATTATAAATTGTCACAGACCTTCAAAACCGCGCCACAGTCCTACTAACTTTGAATTCTAATTTTCGTAATTTCCATCTAATTCTTTTGAATTGATAAATGGTGGGAGGAATTTTAATAATTAAACAAAATCGATAGAGGTATAGTAGTATTTATATAGAGCCCAGTCTTACAAAAAAAAAATGACCGCATCGTTTCCAAAGGGACGGGCAGATTGGAACTGCGAATTACTTAATTTTCACTTATAATTTTCCTTTAATTTTCTAATCAACGATCGGTGTGCTGTCAGTTTCGAAGTTGCTTCTTTGCACTGATGAAATTAAGGATATTCACGAAATACAATAAGATAAGCACAATCAGTAGAAATTAAATTATTTAAGTTGCTTTTTTTGGGTTTAGTTTTCTTCCATTTTCTGGTTTTTTATCATCAAATACAAATCCTACTTTCACGCTCCTACGTGTCTGTGTTGTGAATATTTTCCTCAGTTTTTACTCATTTTCAAAGATGTTTCTTAATTTAAATTTGTTTTATTATGAAAAATCAAAGCGAACATTTTTTTTTCATTTTTCATCATTTTTTTTGTTTAATTTATCTCAATTTTCAGATATATAATGTTACGTGACCACCTTTTGAAAAGAAGAAAATTGCCTCAGTAGCCATTGAAATCGTCGTCTTAAAAGTGGCGCAGGGTATTCAGGACAGGGACAACAAGAAGAAATGTGAAAAATTTCCTTGGGATGATTTCAATAGGTTTTTTAAAATTGTTCTAATTGAGAAAACTGCCCTGGACACACTGCGAAATTGAAGAAGGGGATTTTGGTGGGTGGGGGATGACAGAGGAGCCCTCGAATAAAATCGAATTGATCATGATTAATTGTTTTGTTTGTTATCGTTTTTTTTTTTCTGTTGGTTTTAAGACAGGACGAGCCACATAGCTACTTCGTAATCGGTGCTGAACGATAAAAGTGGCATTTTAGGCTGGGGCTGCTCGTTGGTGGCGTTCGGATGAGGTCAACGAAAATTGGCGCATCACATGGCATATTTACGCGTCCATTCACGTGCCAATTCGTTGTACTTCTCACGATCAGTTTTGTATATCCTTGCTATTTCCGGTACAAGTGGATCGTCTGGATTAGGATCACACAGCAGAGAGCATATTGACAGTAACACTGTAAACAAAATTTACAAAATCATTTATTAGTTATGAATTTGACAAGTCTGTTGATTTTAACCAGTGATGGCAAGTTTCATCTTTTCCACCCCGAAGTCCTCAAGTCTCGGAAAACTTGCGGACTACTGAACTTAGTATTTGAAAATTTACAGCCTCCACTCATTCATTTGTCCAAGTACCAAATATTTCTGGACATGGAATGTTGAAATTTTCAAACAATAAATATTTTTTAAAATGGAATCCATTATTGCGAGATATAATCGTTATAAGTTCCAAAGAATGAAATTGGAAAATGATAGATTAAATTTTAGTCCGGATTGGTGTAAAAATTCTAAATATATATTTTTTAAAGACTTGAAATATTAAAGAATCATTCCAGAAAGATTTGAAACTTGAAAATGTCTCAAGTTCAAAGTTCTGCGGAAATTAAGACTTGAAAAAAATGAAGTCCGACCTCTTGCTGGAACAAAGACTTGACAACAATAAAGTCCCATATTCCTCCTGGACTTGAAATTTTAAGAAGTTTCAAGTAGTAAGTCTTTCAAGACTTTCAATTTATTTCCCCAGAAGTGAAAAATTCGTCGGAAATTAATACTTTTATTAGGTCTTAAAGTTCAAATAGACTCAGGACTGCCCATCACTGATTTTAACGCATCGTGCAACGAGTGCTCAGAATGCATTAAATTCATGTGAAATCGAGTTAAAAATAATAGTGTGATTCAAGAGCAGAAAAATTGTTGGTTATTTTTAGCTCGAAATTAAACATTTTCTTTTACCTTTTGATATAGTGAGTGCTGGAGACCACTGCGATCTCAAAATATCCAAGCAGATACTTCCGTTACTGTTAATATTGGGATGATAAATTCTGGTCGTGAATGCGACCTGTCCAGAAGAAAAATATTTACGATTGAGTTGCATGATTATTTGGCGCTGATAAATATTGAAGGTTTGAGTTAACATACCTTAGGAGGTTTGAATGGATAGTCTGTGGGGAAGTGAATTGTGAGGAAAAATACTCCTCCTTGATAAGGACTGTCAGGCTGCAAAAAAACCACAAGAAAAATATTAATCCAACTGTAATAATTTCAGAATCATGATAATTAAAAATATAATTTTGGGGTTGAGTACTTACTGGTCCCATAATGGTCGCCTGCCAATGGAATACTGCGAAAAAAATCACCAAAAAAATCATCAATAGATTTACTATAAAGCGAAAGCAACGAATTACGAAAGTAAAGTTTTAAAAAACCACAGAAATCCACATTAAAATTTATTTAAAAAATAAATACATATGCAAAAAATTTATCCGTCCCAGAGCTCAAGATTTGTTTTAATAATAAGTTATGTAGTAAAACAAAAAAATATGGGCTAATAGGAATGAAAATAAAAATATCTTCATCAGTGTTACGATCTATAAATAAACTAGGAACACTCGTCAGAGGGTAATGCAGTCGTTTAATATATAGAAAAGATGATATTCCATAGTTCAAGTCAGTGATGGGCACTTTTAAGTTTATTTGAACTTTAAGGGCCAATGCAACAATTAATTTTTGATTAACTTTTTTCATTTTTAGAAATAAATTGAAAGTTTTGGAAGACTTACTACTTGAAACTTTGAAAATTGGTACAGTAGAGGAATGTTGAACTTTACTTTCGTCACGTTTTCACTCCAGCAGGATTTAAAACTTCATTTTTTCCAAGTCATAAGTCCAGTTATGACTTGAAGTTTATGAGTTGAAAAATTTTCAAGTTTTACGTCTATCTGATTTCCGATTTTGAAATTATGTAATATTAAACTTTCGGATTTGTAATCGGACATTAATATTTTGAAGATTTGAAAAGGATATATTTAGAGTTTTGCAATTCATTTCGAATTAAATTTATTCAATAATGTTTTAATGTCACTCATTGAAATTTACAATAATTACAGCTCTGAATGATGGGTAATCAGTTTTTGTAGACCTATTGCTTGAAAAATTCAAGTCCAAAGTCCAGAAGTATTCAGTACTTGGAAATTATTAGTAGAATGTTAAAAAAATACTATTCAAATTGAGATTTGGAAAAATCAGAGTCCGTAAATCCCTTCACGAAGTAGCAATTAAAAAAATGTACCCATCACTGATTCAAGTAAATATTCAGAATCTAATCATCAGGACTATTAAATTGTTAAATCCACAAATTGGCTGAAGTCCAATCCAAATAAAATTTTTTTACTCACAATCGTCTCCTACAGGTCCAGCTGAGCATTGTGCAGGGGGATCTCTTCCAAGATCCTGAAGTTCCTGCGAAAAAAAATTTTTTTATAATTTTAAAACAATCACAATCATTTCCACAAATAGAGAATTTTCTCAAAAATTCAACATGAATAATATTTCGAATATATTTCCAACCTGAAAAATATTGCGAACTATAAAAATAATTGAATCTTTAGAAATGCAATTCCACAAATGACTGCAACGCAAAAGATATGAAAAGTTTCATCCACAGGATAAATAAAAACTCAATAACAATGTGCGTCTTATTTCTGATCAAAGATCTATTTTCACTCGTCTGCATATTGAAAGTTGATTTATTTTGCGTCAGTACACATTAAGTAATTATCTCGAGGATCAATCCCTCGAATATTCCAATCTCGATAAAAACAATTCTATCCTGATAAACAACAACGCAATATTTCCTTCTACCATTCCCAATGAATTCCACAACTTGTCTCGAATAACCAGGAAAAAAGAAAAAAAAAACTGTTTTCTCTAACCTGGGCATCACAATGTTACAGTTATATGGTAGAAGCACAACTGAGGGACATCACACACTCCCAATCGACATTTATGACTTGAAGACGACATGCAGAACCACCATGCTTACCACCTTTTTTTCACTTATCCCCGATGAAGAAAAAAAAAAAAAGAAGTGAGAGTTTTCTTTATTCTTTATCAGTACTCCCTCCCCACCCCTCGATCGCATACAATCAACAATAAATTTCCCATTGACTTCCGGTTGTCTTACAGTTCTGAATGACGAAAAAAAAAAAGCGACATGATAAAATAACATGTGAAATGAGTTATTCCTCAGACTCAGAAATAATTTCACTGTCACAACGGGCAATGTTCGCCGGTATATATTCGATGACTCATGTACGTAAAATGTATCCAAAAAGTTGATTAATGGTCTCAATGCCATGATCAATAGTCGTGATTATTGATTGATGATTGTGAAGCAATTAATAGTAGATGCATAATGAATACAAACGTAAGGCTAGAGGCAGTATGATTATTCTGGTAATGCCCCTTCTGGCTGTGTTGGCTCACATTGCTTCCCCACTTATTCTTTTTTTGGGACGAAAATCGTTATGGGCGTTCGTACCCATTTTATCCACACAACACGTTACAATGTATATTTATTATTATTGTTAACACTCATTGAACATTGACGTACCTTATTAATTCGTTTTAAAGCCATCTGATGAACTGTGTGTTGATATTAACTGGCCGAAAACCAGACAACGGAACCCGCTAGCCAAAGATCTTTGATTAGGGATTGCAAGATGGCTGACTTCTAAACGTCGTTCAACTACGCTGGTCAATACACCTTTTAATTATTTTTCTTTTTGATGACTAACGTTTTTAATGCCACACCTTTCATTCGCTGGGTATGACCATTTTTTATTTTTACAATTACTGGTTTATTTTTGGCACTGGCAAGGTGGGGGGAGGATTTTTTTTTCGATTTTCGGGGGAATTTTTGAGCACTCGGGGCCGATGGTGTCTCCACGGATTTCCTTTTATCGGCAACTGGTGTCTTGCTCCAGTAATTCCTACGGATTACGACAGGCTGCGCTTTTACGCGGGAATAACGGGGAATTTCAAATAGTCATGCGCACTTTTCAAGTCCTTCTGGATTGTAAAACCCAATAAAGGTATTGATTTTGCTGTTAACTTTGTACTTCTTTGGAGATAAATCGAAAGTCTTGAAAAACTTATTGGAATTTCAAGGTCTGGAGGAATCTAGGGGTTTTTTCAAGTTTGGTAAAGTTTCTGCGTACGACTAATTACGTGCAGATTCGTTTCAATAAATTACAACCCGTATTATTTTTGTATCGCCAATACTCGTTATCGCCATTTACGTATACAAATAAAATTTGTTTCCGTGGTGCAGTAGAAAATATATGCACTACTTTTTATTCTAAATTATCTGAAGGTGCGCGATTTTTACAAAAAAGTTAGTTTTTAATTTTAACATTTTATAACATAAAAAATGGACAATTATCTTATATATGGACGTAGGAGGATAACACTGTGTAGAAATTAATAGAGCGAAATTTTGTGAACAAATTTGATATGCACGTTTAAAAATCAAAGGTGTTTATTTCATTTCATTTTTACATCTGTGCACAAGCATAATTGTGTACAATTCTCAGGTGCATGATATACTCTATCAGAAAAATCTCAAACTTTAAAGAAAATTTTATTTTATTATATTTTTTTATTCCATTAATCTTTGAGAAGTTTCCGTAAAAATTGTAGACCGATCGGTTGAGTTGGTTTTTGGAGAAAGCATGCTTACTGATTTAAAAAATACCGTTTTGAAAAAAAAAAATGATTGGAGGTTTCAGAATAAATTTACAAGTAGTTGACTTTTTTTTAGATTAAAAACATTTTTTTTAATATTTTCCAAACGTTGTGTTTCCTGACATATATATGGTTGTATGTCCAAAGAAATTTATCGGATCGGAATTTTCTGAGAATATAGTAAAATATACGTCCATTCAAAAAAAATAAAAAAAAAAATTTTTTTATCTTCCACCTGTTATACCCCTTAATTTCGGAACTCATTGAAAATGTAGGCCGGATAAATAACGGTTATTGTTTCAGTTTTCGTAGTCAACCTGATTGTTTAGAACATAAACAAATTAGAGCGATGTTTTGGCATATGAGAAATTAACCTCTTGTTTAATGAAAATGGCAAAAAAGTGCAATATTTTTTATTTGGAGAGATTAAAATAATGAAATGAAATATTTGAGATGAGGTAAAATAGTGCAGAGGATACGTTTGGGTGAATTGGTGGGGATTTATAAAGTGGAAAGATGTATTATGTGTGGGGGAAGCCATCGATATCAAGGCCAACGCAGACGCGTCCGACCCAGCAACCGACAACAAGCGCGAGGAAACGGGAAAAATGCAAGAGAAAACGCCAGAACTTGGTGTGGAGCCCCGAGGAAGAGGTCTGGCACGAGCCTTACATGGTCTGCCTCCACAAACAATTTTCTGATCCTTCAATTCGATGCGACTCCACGCTGGAACTCCCCTGGAAGGATATTGCTCTTCCACTCAGTGGAATGCGCATCAGACCGGAAGTCCGAATGTCATTGACTGCAGATGATGATGCCAAGGATACGGAAGAAGTTGAAGAACTGGAAAAAAAAGGTTTTAGTCTCTGATTTTTAGTCTCTTTGTTCTCTATTTCACGGACTGCAGCGAAAAATTTTTCTTTGGTGAAAAATAATTTTTGGTAATCGATCGTATTTGCTAAATCGTTCGATGGTACGTCTGGAAAAATGTCGCGCTTTTTTTTTTATGAAGATAATCGAAGGAACTGACTTAAAAGAGGGATTAGTCAACTATAATTGCAAGATTTTTAAAGAAATGGATCATTACACTCGTGCTGATCCTCTTCTTTCTTGAGATGATTTGAATATTGTCATTTATTCAATATCAATAATTTTATGGGTATTTTTGTATTAAGATCTGTGGATTCAGGGTTTAAGAAATCATAAAATCACATTATTTTTCAAAATTTCAGATCGATCGGGTGAAGCTTTCGTTTTGAGAAAAATGTGTTTAGAGTTTCAGATGATGTTCACACATGGTTACAATTTTTTTAATAACAAATAATATTAGTAATTACTCGAGGAAAGAACAGTACGTTTTTACCATTTCTTTTTCATATAAAAATTCAATACTTAATTCAAACTTTCTCTTATATTAAATATAAAAATCTAACAAAGATGTGAAATTTTAATTAAAAAATTCGAAAAATAGCCGCTGAAAAAAATGACCTCTCGTTGACAGCAGAACTCATGGTAGGATGATCTGAATTTTAAAAAAACTTATGACTTTTAGTTAATACCTTAAACTCGTTTTTGAACGAAGAAGAAATAATTAATAAATAATTGCATTTATGGCAGATTTTCTAACGAAAAAATGAATAATATAATAATAGAATAATAATATAATAGAATTTCGAGAAAAATTGGACAATCGAAAAACCGCTAAACCAAGTTGGCCTTGACAGCGAAATTTTGGAAATTGGTACTCCGATCGATTTGAAATTTTACGACAATATTCTAGACATGTTGTAGAAATTTAATTAATAAGATAATAAAAAAATAATATAATAATAACAATAATAATCGATAAAAAATCTTCTTCTCGAAATTTAACTACTGTTACTCTTATCATTATTGTATTAAAAAAAATGAGAGGATAGTATGAGAGGCTGAAGGCTAAGATGAAGGGGTGCCTATCAAACCATGAAAATATTATGGTAATAGAAAAAAGGCAATGTAAATAAATAAATAAATTATTGTATTATTCCTACTGAACGAAAAGAGTCAACTGGTCGAATGGAACTACCCTGGCACAACCTCCTAGTGGCAGACATGACGCCGCAGATGTCTCCGGATGTCGGCGGATGTGACTCAACAGTGGAAATTCCGTGGGGCCAACTGACGTTCGAGGAACCTCCCCAAATAAAACCCCCACCAGTTGAGCGAACCTGTTCAGGTGACGACATCGAGGTACCCTGGAACGACATTATGGTACCCCAAAATATCATAATCGCTGGGAAGACACGAAAACATCCATCGAATTTAATAAAACGTCGCCCTGGGGGCTCAGACAAGTGTCAGCCCTGCAATCGCTGCTCAAAAGAACAGAAGAGCAATCGAAAATTACCTGGTGAGCTGTCTCATACTGGTACCCGGAGCACGATCAATAAAGTGTCTTTTCTGTTTTCAGTTTCAGTCCTCAAATGCCCTGGCGCCAAACGATAAGCACTCGGTCGAATCCGTCCGGCTACAATAAATTTATGGGATTTTTATAAAGTTTCTTAAGTTCAATTCATCAGTTATTACGAAATTATTCCATGTTTGCCGAAATTTCGGTGAAATTGAGTTGCTGTTTCGTGCAAGACGGAGTTGCTGATTCTCGTCGGTATATCCTGAAAGTAAATTTTAAAGTTTGTCAATTTAATAGTCAGTGTTCTTCTTCGTCAGTCTTCTATTGTGCAATTAGAAATTCAATTCGTTTAAATGATTAATATGATTTTGAAAGGAAATGGATCGATGGAGCTATCGGATAACTTTTAGTAAATTCTGGAAATATTTTTGAAAACTGGTAGAACTAAATACTTGGCCTATGCGGGCACTTTTAAGTAATGATTAATAAAATGAGGGGAAGCAACAAACGTCTTTATTGATTTTTAAAAAATAAAGTTATTGAAGGCTGTATGTTGTATCTATGTCCAAGATTACGTCACACCCTAAAATTCGGCCTTTTCATTTTTTTTCGGACCTTTAGACTTGATTAATGGAACTCTACATGAATTTGAATATTTTGACAAGATCTTCAAAATGCCGCCTGATTTTTTCAATTTTACTCCATCAATTTTGTTAATTTTTATTATGAATATTTGTTGATTCCGGCATGTGACAAATTGGATTTTTTTTGTTATTTTAAGGTTCTGTCGCCATAATTTGTCATTAAATTATAATTTTTCTCCGTTATTATTGATATGAATTATCATTAAAAATTTTTATAACATTTTTTTATAATTGTGCCTTTCACAGGACATGTTTAATCGCCATATAGTACATAATCAATTCATAATTCAGAAATATTTCAGGACTACAAATTAAAAATTAGTAGAGGCCAAGAAATTGATTATGCAATTAATTCAATGTACCCTAGCAACTGTGTGTCTTGTTGATAATTTATAAATATTATTATGGATGTTGTACACCATTCCTACCAAAACTCTCATTTTTTAAATCATTTTTGAAAAATGGAATTAACAATTTGAATTCGTCAAAAAATATAATGTCTTCGCGTTTTGTCTGAACTTTCAAAAAAAAAATTTGAAAAAACCTGGAACATATATCATGGAAGGGAATACAGAAAAAAAATGAAATCGATTGACCATTTGGGTTACGCGATATAATTATCGAAGATCCATAAATTTATGTGACTAGCGTATATGGCGCGCTATGCGCGCCAAATCGTCCACGTATGGGGTGTTATCATTGGAATATATATATATTTATATATTTCCAATGTAATATATACATATATAGAATTTCAAAAAGAAGATAGAAAAAAGTCTAAAAATTTTTTTAAAAAAAAATTAATATAATTTATATATATATATGTTATAATATATATTATATATTATATATATTATTTATATATGTATGTATTATATATATACATATCATATTATATAGATATATTTTGATATGCATAGCGCCAAAAAAAGCTGACAAAAAACATGCTACATGCTTTTTTTTTTAAAGGGATTGTCAATACTTAATAGGAAAATATATAATAATGAATATTCTTTCTTCAGCTACTCATGTACAATGCAATCAATCAAGTGAGACTATATACCGTGAAAATATTGTGTTCTAAACTGACCGGTTTTATTGGATAAACATTTTGCAAAGTCAATCGCGATACAACAATTATGAGTCTGACAGAAAATAAGCGAAATGTAAATCTACAGTACCGACGATTTGGTGTGGAAAATGGACGCGTGCTGGCGCTGGTATCGCCGAAGGCATCGACTCCTCGAGGGGATCGTCGACAGCCAGTACTCCAGTAGGCTTCAGCCATCAGCCGCGAATGGTTGGGGTTTTGTTGCATAAATCCACTACAAGAGTCAGGTGTGTTACAGGATATCCCAGTGAAAATGGCGTAGCCCCAGTGCTGCAATCATACAATAATCTCAACACCTCGAGAAATCGTTAAGACAACCTCCAAAACGTTGAGACCAGTGACCAATCCATGATCCACCATCTTCACAAGCACTCCAACCACCTCAATATCAAAACAAAGTGACAGTGAATGTTAAGTGTAATTATTGGTGCCTTGAGGATTATCTGACAGAAACGGGTGTACCCAGTGATTCAATAACACTCCACCTCCAATCATCAACCTCAATGTGAAGTAATGATAAGTGCGTGTGTCTCATTGCTCTAGGTTTAATAATTCAATACTCGTGATAATAAATGAAGAGATCGAACCATGTCGTTCACCAAGCATCGAAAATACGTCCTCGTGACAGCTTGACGGTTTTTACCATAACACAAGATGGCACCACCGGCTTTTTGACATTTAACCATACACACGCCTATCAGCTGGATTAAAGAAAAAAAAACCTGACAACTCTGTTTGTTTTATTTTGGTTTTTTTTTCTTTTTTTTGGGGGGGCGGGCGGGGGGGGGGCTATTAAATTGAGGCAGCCAAGTGTATTATGAGCAGAGAATTCTACGTTCCTTGCACACCATACGCATATCCGGTGAGTAGAAAAAAAAAACGTCTCATGCACAGTGTAACGTCCCCGATTTATCGATTCTCAACGCCAGGGGCAACGATTAGAAAGTTAAAACGTGCCTGAACACGACCTTCCAACGTTTTATGATTTTTTTTTTAATCAACTTTTTCACACTATTGTGCGCTGGGGTTATTACCGGACGGGATGGGGAGTGATAATGAGGATAAGCACATTGAGAGGTGATTTTTATTTTGAGGATAAAGATTTTTCTGTAATGTCGGGGTTATCTTGAGAAGATTCTCGCAGGAGGAATTTATCAAGAGGTTTTTTTGCGAGGAATTTTATGGGCTACAAAAAGGGTCTCCCAGGATTTTGGCAAGGCTATTTGTTTAAAAAATGGGTGTTAGGGATTACACGAGCACTTCGTGCTTTTTTTCCATGGAACAATTCGTGATCGTGATGATTTTTTATAGCTTCTGCCGGGATTTATGATAATTACGTTTTCTCTATTTGATGGACTACTATTTATATGCCTGCTGACTCAGTTGTAAGCCTATTATGTAAGGTTTAAATTGATTCTGCAATTTTTACTCGCTTTTATTAACTTACCAGAGTTTTACCCGAAAATTGAATTTTTATGTATTGGAAATGAGAGACATAAATAATTATTTAATGCCGTGGATTAAACTTAAATTCTTTTATTCTTTAAATGACACGAGGAAGAAAAATGTCTGTACTCTATGGATCTCTCCAGGAGACTGAAAACTAATCACAAAGACCTATTACAAAATTCGTCACCTAATGAAAGAACTCTCTGTTCTTTCTTCCTCAGAAATCTTGGTTTATGTTTATGTAGCCTCTCAAGTGACTTTTAGTCAATATCCGTATCGACTCATTTTTGTAACGGTCAATTGGAAATAAAATAGACTCAATAATCCAACATTATGGTTGACTGGGGAAAATATCTCTGTTACGATTTTTTGGCATTTTAAAATGCACTGACAGGAATATTTATTCATCATTTTGAAGGTCATTTTATGTTTTTTAAAATGAGGCATGATAAATATCATTTCATTGGAGTTATTGTTTCGGAGCTCATGTCGCCCCCTGAAATTCGTACTTTTCATTAATTTTCGGATAATTAGACTTGATTAATGTGGGGCTATTATACTTCAATCTCAAGATCTCAAGAAGATCATGAAAAGAAAACCTCTCAATTTTTTTATTGAATTATCTGAATCGGCTCGTCTCTCGTTGAGTAATGATAGCTTTTGTAGAAAAATGATTTTTTATGTTAAACATGTCGGTTTTTTTGTGTTAAGAAAATGATTCGATTGTTGAAACAATTTTTTTTACAAGGGGACATTCATCCTCTTTGTAATGAGTCCAGATTGACCTGAATTGATCAATTTACTGTTCAGTTATGAAAATTAGAAAATATTTGTCGCGTTCAGTCGGCCTTCCGTTGTTCGAAAAATCATTTCTATAATCTATTTGGAAAATAAATCAGTAGCTAAATGATAAAAGGGGAAGGAGTTTTGTGATGAATTTGTAAATAATTTAAAAACTGAAAGGAATAGTTCAATTTTTGGAGGAACCTTTTCATTTTATCAATTCACTCCCAGAAATTACATCTTAAAAATGTCTTGAGGATTTGAAATGCTTGATATTTTATTGCTACGAATATTTAAATCGTCATAATGGTGATGCCCCATCATGATCCCATCATGGGAAGTCTATCAGAGAGATCTCCATTGTATCGAATAATTTATTCGACAGTGAGAGTATCGATGTTACGCAGAAAAAAAAAATCGTACGTCAAAAAGGTTTTTATTCGTCGAGGGTTTCTGCTCAGATTTCGAGGATTATTATTGCAGAGCAGTAAAAACTCTTTGGGTAGGGATTGTTAATCATGTGAAACGCAGCGTAAAAAATAAATTTTGAGAAAAGACAGCAGTTTGAGAAATTGTTACGAAATAGTCCACATGAAATTATCGTTACCAATTTTTTCCACAGATTTCTCTAATTCAATTTCATCAAAATCTTTTCTACAGTCGTAAGAGCAATATCGCTCTCTTTTATAGCTTTGTTCGCGGAATGTTGTGAGTAAGGACTTGATGCTGGGACAAAAGTTATTGCTCTCGAGATTGTTGAACGTCAATAAAATGGAGTAATCGAGAGTTCTTGGGTCTCCGACCAAAAGTGGAGTACGAAAAAATGATTAATAGTTTCTTGGGATTTCATAAATTTTCTGGAACCTCAGAGGCAGCCTCTGGCGCTGATTGAACAACCTTAATTGCTCACCAGTAATTGCGGTAGCTCATGATTTTTGTATTTATAATTCTGCTTTTGTTCTCGTTTCCTCGGTCAAAGGACTCATTCAATATCCAGAGTAAATTCCGAATGAATTTTTCATTGCCAGTATATGTATTAGTTATTGTACTCAGTTATTGTACTTCTCAGGATTCATAAGAACCTCGAACTCTGGGGAATAATTATTTTCATTGTCAACGAATTGATACGGTTCGCATTGAATTAAAAAAAGTGGGACAATATACTGTTGGTCTTCTCAGTAATCAAGGCACATCAAATTAATTCGGTTAACCATGCAGTGTTCGTCAATTAAAATTAGAAGAAAAAAAAAACTTATTTATTCATGAAGTTAACTTCGAGTTATTTATCATCATGGCTGTCACATTGACATAAATTTGATTTTTAAGTATTATTATTCATCAGTATCATTGGAAGCATGAAAATAAATAAATCATGAGTTTCGTATACTTTAATCAATATCAATAATGTCACAAGAACGACTGGAGTCATCATTGCAGGAAGATTTACCGAATGATGAAAGGGTTAACAATTCCATAACCACGAGACTATGTGAAATGGTTTGTTTTCGTAACTGTCATATTTACTTGGTCAGGAGTGATTCGAATCGAAGAGTATATCCTAGGATTTTCATCATTCGTTTTCATTTTGATTACTTGTCAAATCTTTAGATCAGATGGAATCTACCAAACTTTGGCAATCACTTCAGGCGGTTGATGGGATTGGGAGGTGAACCAGATATTGATCGAGATCAGCATAGATCAAATGATATGAATCAGGTTGGGAGTGACGTAGAATATTCAACGGAGGATTTTTCGCTCGAGGAAACTAGCTCCAGTGAATCTACCCCCTTTGCTATCTCGGTTAGACCACCAAATTTGCCGGAGTTTTCTGGAGCCAATTATCCTTCAACTTCAGATGCTTTCTCAAGTAAAATGGAGATGAGTATTCTGTTGAGTGGGGAAATTAAATGAGTTGAAAGAGTTCTGGGGATGATGTTTATTGTTTGGGGGATATTCTTGGGAATGGGGGACTTCGGGGAATTCGCCGAAAGAAATATTTGGCAATCAACTGGATTCGTTACAGATAATTTCTTATGTTTAATTTATCTCTCAGTTATCTGGACATTTTGCAAATTTCGTTTGTTTAGATAATTAATAGGAAATGGATTCATCGATAGTGATTAGAAGTTCAGGGCATTCTTTTTTTTAATTTAAGTAAAATTGAGGGGATGCTTATTGTTATGGCGTTGGAAATTGTTGGAATTTTTTTTATAAACTGAAATTTTTCTACTTGTCGCTCTTGGATGAAATTCAAATATCTATAGAATACTGTAAATATGAATGTCAGATAATGAATTTATATTTACATAATTTTGTAAATATTTAGAAATTAATGGTGCAGAAGTTTTGGCTGAATTTTCGAAAATTTGAGTGAAAAATTGGAAAAATTTTCCGGGCTGTACAATTCCACTAAAATTTTAAAACATCTTGTGATCGAAAATCCAGAATTTAGTGGACAAATGAATCAGTAAATTTGTATTCAAACTTTCTCCTCAAACTGATAAAAAACGAGACAATGAAATACGATTTAAAAGTGAAAAAAATATTGTAATTTCATATTAAAAAAAAAAATAAGTAATTTTAAAGTGCAATAGAATTTCACAATGAATATTCATATTAGATTGGAATTTCCTTCTGAAATTTCGGTTATTGAAAATAAACCCTTCATTTTTTCCTTCTAAATCGAATTTTATGTCATTGACAAAAAAAGTGTGAGACATTTTACCAACATCATGAACTCAATGTTTCCCTTCATGTTCCCAATTCCATCTGAAATTGAAGTATCAGGTGAGCTCAGCGAAGATGACCTGACAGTCTCGACAATTTTATCACCCCAGGGCTATTCAACTCGTCTGATGATTTCAAGTGGTGTCAATACCAGTGCAAATGGTTTTCACCGACTAACACTTGCCGATGTTATAAATGAAGATGGAGTTATAATAGCGGAAAATCCAGGGGACTTTGCTGCTGTACTTAATGCACGAATGGGGTACGTGATTTTCACTGTTGAACCTTCAGAAAATGAGTTCTCAGGTTTATTGATCCGAATAGCCGACACATGGGCTTCGTATGAAGTTTGTCATACTGGGGTTGATTATCTAGGGCCTCTGGTGACCCCCACTGGGTTGCTCGGACGACTGAGTCAAAACTCACGTGTCTGTTACGCTACAGCGCATTAATGGGATTTGTAGAAATATTCAGTGGATTTTTATAGCTTCCAGGGAAGTGTGAGTCATTGATTTGTCTAGGGGATTAATCGAAATGACGACTCGAATGGGTTAAGGTTGCATATACTCATTCCATTTCTGGTGTTCCATTCTATATTTTTGATTTCACATCGTCTTAAATGTTATTAATCGTTTTTGACGATTAATTAAATTAAATCATAAAATGAAATAATTTTCTGAAATTTGACATTTTTTAAAAATTTTTCCTCAATATCTCAAGATCTACTCGACCGAGATGGAAATCTTTTCCATTTAGGAGAGGATTTTTTCAATAACTTAGGAGTTCCGGAGTTTGAAATAATTTTTGAAAGAGAAATTTCCGATTACCAATTCTACTCTCCAGAAATATCTGATCATTCATAATAGCGGAATTTTCGTTTTTTTTTATATTTTATGATTTTCGATACAAGTTCCCGGTAATCGTATTCTAAAAAGGACTCGCTTGACACAATCGATTATCTCGAAAATCTCGAAATCATGAAGCTACAATTCCTTATTGGTCCACCTAAAGTGGCGCGAGATTACAAAGTCGTAACTCTCTTGCAGATATTGTTTCATACCCGCGCGATGGCGCGCGATACGGATTCTTTTGTGTCAAAAAAGCTTGTAAACAGGAATTCGCGAGATATACCAAAATAAATAATATACATTTCAAATTTTAAACAATCAAAATTTAAATTTAATTGTTCAATTGCGTTGGAAAAAATCGCAACGAATCTCTGAATTATGGAAATTAAATATCTCGTGGTATGATATATGACAAAGAAATTTTTCAAAATATCCTCTGCTGATCTATCAGATCAAATTTAGTCAAACTCCAGTTTTCAATGAATTTTTCTGGAATAACTGAACCCTCCAACAGCCAAAGCCCAAATTTTCAAAAATCCCGAATTAAATTTAGAACAATTATCCTTTGCAATATCATCATGAAACTGATATGATGCTTCTTCAATTAGTAATCAATCACCCGATGGCTTCCAGACCCTCTTCGAGCACCGTCACGTGCCCCTATTCATTCCATCCTATGAAAACAATGATTACACAATGAGTTCAACAACAATTGATTCCAGTTCGTCGTACGGGTAAGCCAAACAAAAAATTTCAACTGGTCAATTTATCCACTTTAAGTACTAAAGAGACATCCGTTGGTGCATATTCGATCCATTTCTGAGACTTCAGTCAAGGTGGAATCGAGAATAACATCGCGACTGATCCAGTTTATGGCAGACGCCGGATGTGTGCTCTCGAAATTTATTTATAACATATACTTTCCTTCATTTCCTCATCTACCTTTTTTTAACGAGTGCCAACACTCTGGTCTACCTTCTTTCAGGCTTCGTCTCATCGGTGGATGGAATTTAAATCCCCTCTGTCCTCTCTTGTGGTTTTAACACCGCAGTTACGTTGAGTAGCGTGTTGACCGCGCTAAAAAAAAAATCGCTAACGGTATCGCCTTGCTGTCGGTTTACATTTAAATTCGCGACACGCATCACAACACAAATTGAAAATACTCTTCTTTCACTTCATCAGGCCAGTTGGATTATATATTAGGCTAGATTGTATGCACGCTAACCCTTATTAAGGTGTTCTACACCCGTTTGTAGTCGGAATTAACGCTTTTTCATGCTTCTGGTAAAGTTGATTTCGCATTGAGGTGCAAAAATAGAACATTTTTGCGTTTTGTCATTATTTAACAACTCATAAAGCTTCAAAACCTTTTTGCCCATTTTTTCTCAACTTTTAAAAAAATTTAAAATTTTTCTGAGCCATTGCATAATGATAAAACAAAAAACGTTATATTTTTTCATATCATTCCCATCGATAATTTGCCAAAACATTCAAAAAACATGATTTTTGACTATCTATGTGTCGGAAATAATAAAAAATGCCCGCGAAATTTCTGATCTCAATCTTAAATTCAAACCGTGCATTAAAATTTCGCGATTTTCATATATTTTTTTAAGCTATGCAATGGCTTTAAAATTAGGAAATTTGCAGGAATATGTAGAATCAATACTTCCGGTTTGTCCTGGAAAAAATTACTTTATTCATGCGAACGCATATGAAATACTCCGAATTCGAAGGACAAACCAATTGTATTTTTATTATTTTTCAAATTTACTTTGTTACTTAAAATTATGTAATAAATGAAATACATAACATGCAAGAAACAGATTTTTACCGATAGGTCCTACAATATATTCTCCAGATTTGGCAAAGTTTTTGCATAATCTTAATTATAATTCATATTTCATATTATATTTCATATATTTTTTTTCATTTTGCTTTCCTCATTTTTCAAATTAATTTTCGATGGAAAAATATTCTCCAATAACTGATTGATGCAATAAAGTCAGAATAAATTCAATCAATTCTCTTCTTCAGGTTGTACTTAAAATAATTGAATGACTTATCCTTACGCAAAATTACAAACAACGATTTTTTGTTGCAATATATTGGTTGTAATAATTTTGGTCACCCACGTTCGAGTGCTCGAATACAATCATAAGAATCAATACTTTCAATTTTTCTAAGAAAACGTGCATTAATACAGGTAAAAAAATACGTACACAAATTCTCAGAATTATAAGCACAAATGATTGGAATTTTTTTTCTATATTTTTTTGGTTTTGATAATGAACACTTGATTTATTTCCAAAGCCCGTCAACTTATTCATAGATCCGTGATTAATTCAATCGACAGATTCCACAATTAAATTTCTCGCATGCCAAGAGAACGTTAAACCGAAGACCTACAATTGTTCAAAGCAGAAATAAATATTCCTTCAGGTGTTAATTCTATCGCAATCGTTGTGGCATTGCGTATGCGTACAGAGAAATCTTGTGGTATGAAGCGAGTACATACGGATAAAATTCAACGTTTGTATTTGTGACGCGGTGAACGTGACTCATAGCACGAGCCCTCTCTCTCATAATTTTTAACGAATAATTTTCCTGATATTCACGTATCGATCGAGACCAATCCAGATCAAGTATCCCTTGATTTCGGAGCGAAAGTACTTGATTGCGATCCAAGGCCAATTTTGGCTGATTTAATATACCTCCACAATATTTTAATTAAACTAAGTGACAATGTGCTATTGCATTGAGGTTTCGAGGATTCTAGAATATTCTTTCAGTACTGAAAAATGTGTCCTAGAATTCCCAAAACGATTGACTCCATAGATTTTCGGATAAAAATTATTAAACATATGGGATTAGCGAAGTCTTATGACGTGTCGTTTTGTGAAGAACAATTAAGAATAATTAACAATATTAATAATTCGGAAGGTTGATTGACGTGGATGTTGATATGGAAATTCTTAACTTATTCTTATTCTTCTTAAGGTAGTACTGTTGGTACATAATGAGTCAAGTTAGAGTACTGATGACTTTGATTAGCGCGGTAGTTCGATTTGACAACATTGCTCAACGGTTTGCACGTCGGTGTGATGGGTTTCCATGTGTGTGTTGTATTTCTGTAATGAGAGCTCACCTAACCTGAGTATCCTTGTTGCCACATCGATTAATTTAACACTTACTTAATTAATTTCAGTATTTATAGCCCATGAGTGGAAATTCTTTAACGCGCAAAATGTTCTTCAACATTCTACATATCGGTCAAAAATTTTCATGAAAAACTCATCCTTGGAATTTTCAAAACTAAAAAAAACTGTTGAGAGGACTTGGTATGGGTGCACAAAAATTAATAGGTATCCCGTAGCTGTTTTGGCTAATATTATTATTTTATAATTTTTCTTAGAACAGCATCAGGATATGGGCCTTTTGTAAAATGGGTCCAGAGCGTGAAAATTTTGGTTGGTATGAGTCAGTAGAGTTGCAGAGGTCACAGGAGAAAGATATACCTTCTGAATGCGTTTAATAAAAGTTAACGTCTAAGCCTAATTAATTTTATTATTTACTAATTCCTGTCCATAATCCAATAAAAACCGTTAATTGCCATAAAACTTTATTTTAATCGTCTAAAAATAAGAAAATTAATGGCTATCGCTCTAGCCCATTCAGGTTCTCAAAAATTTAACTGAGTTGTTTTTGCATTAAGATGTATCTCTGTACCGATTTCCATGAAAATCTTATCGTTGCTTCGATGTATGGTACTATCTTAACGTAGGTTGCAACGAAATTTCGAAACGTTTGATGTTCACCCCCCACCCTCTGCCCGAAAAATTTACTGTCGAAGGTATGGCCTCGAATTTTTACGATGAATGATTCATGGATTTAAAAGCGGGAAAATTATGAATAATAATTTTGCCGATTTGTTTGTACCACGATAGTGTCATGTAAATTATTATTTTTAAGGAGTACAGACGCCGGGGAGAGGGGAATTGTTAGGGGGAAGTAATGAGAGTATGGAGGCACGACTTGGGACCTCCAGGAGTTGTATTTCAGCGTACATGGTATATATTTGCGTGGTGATGCCCCGAGGTTGTAGCATTCGATCGTGACTCACCAGTATTTATTCAGGTACGGGATTGCAAGACGTGTCTACATGCGATAACTTCCATTCTATAGCCTACGCAATTGGTCCAATATTTAAGGGAAGTGTATTCACATTTTTGAGAGGTGATTTTTTATTCAATGCTGACTTGTTGTACGTGATAGGTCAAATTTTACATGAATTCGTAATGGTAATTGTGAATGATGAGGAGTGGGTTTAGGAGGAAGGTCAGATCTACTACCTAGCGATTTTTACCGGTAGAGATTTTTAGGAGAAAATACTCCGAGATTTTACTGCTAAGGAAACGGTTCGGAAATTATGGCTTGACAGAAAGGAAGATTACCAAATAATTTGAAATTAGGAAAATCTGTTCTTTGAAAAATCACAAGCTGAGAATTTTTCAGATGCTTAAGAAAAATTGTAGCGTCAAATCTTCAATACTTTTAGAATTCAGTGAAAATTGAAGCTGTTGGGGTATTGAATCTTTAGCTTCTGAATGTTTAAAGAGTTTTTTCTGTCTTTTAACTTGCAGATATTTTAAAGAAGGAGAAAGTTCCTGGGTGAAGAAGCGATAGTGAAAAGTCCTGAGATTAAAAACCATACATTGACATTTTTAAAAAAATGAAGTTGTTTGATATTGGATTATGAACAGGAATTAGTAAATAATAAAAGTAATTAGGCTTAGTCATTAACTTTTATTAAACGCACTCAGAAGGTATATCTTTATCCTATGATCTCTGCAACTCTACTGACTCATAGCAACCAAAGTTTTCAGACTCTGGACCCATTTTACAAAAGGCCCTTGTTCATTCATCTCTCTCTATTTCTGTTTATACAAACTGTTCTCCTTATCCGGATGCTGTTCTAAGAAAAATTAGAAAATAATAATATAAGCCAAAAAACTTATGGGATAACTATTAATTCTTGTGCACCCATACCAAGTGCTCTCTATTTGATTTCTAGACAACTAGTCCCCGATTTGAAGAATACTTATTACTAGAAGCGCTAATTTTGTTATCTTTGTCTTCAGTAAAAAGTGAATCTTCATTTTTTCAAAAATTTGGTTAAACACGTTTAGTCAAAAAACGTTTGTAAAGTCCCTGGAAATTTAGTTTCTAGCATTTACGAATGTTTCTTGTAGAGCTTAGAAACCTGTTTCCTGAAATTTGAACAGGTTTTCCCAATAAAGGGACAATTCACCTCTAGATTTAATCATTTTCCATTTCACTCAAAGCAAATGAGGCAATCAAATAAAATCCCATACTTGACAAATGTCAATTTCTGATGTCCTGAGTCCCCTTGACATACGGCCTGGACCAAATAAAGTTTTAAGTCCTGTTGGAATGAAGACTTAACAAAAATAAAATCCAAGACTCCTCTGGGACTTGAAATCCGAATAAGTCTCGTACCAAGTCTTTTGGAACTTACAGTTTATTTCCGAAGAAGTTAAAAGTTATCAAGGCATTACCATTTATATTGGGCCTTAAAGTCTAAATAAACTTCGGAGTGTCCATCACTGGTTTGAATTTTTATTCTTGCAAACTTCTTTACTAAGAAAAATCATTAATTTTTTGATGCTATTGCGATTGACTTTTTTACTCGTCTTCATAGAGTAGTCTCGTT